CCTCTCCCCTCTATGAGCCTTCCTCCTCCACCCAGGCCCACCAGGCCCTTGCCCCTCCCCAGCAGCAGCAGCAGCTTGGGAGTCAGCAGCAGGGGTTACAGCAGTATGGGCAGCAGCTTCTCCTTTCTCAACTCCAGCAGCAGCTCCAGCATCTCCAGCAGCAGCTCGACCTACAGCCGCAGCTGCCCCTCCTCCCTCCTCCCGTTTCCTAGTAGCAGCCCTTTCCTACCTGGACTGCTGGGAGTGCTGCCTCCGCAGCCCATCTCTCGGGTGCATCTCCAGCGCCGTCTGCAGGTGGCAGTGTGACCGCTTTCCCCTCTTCTGGTTTTGTCGGTTTGCTAGGTCAACCTGAATTTGTTGCATCTCCCATGTACCCTTCTTCTGTTAATGAAACTTCGTTCCAGTACTCTGCCTCACCCTCCTCCACCCTTGACTTCGTCCTAGACAGTGGAGCCACTGACAGTGTCCTTCGTGATGCTGGTACACTGCGCCCTCTCCCCACACCCACCTCCTTCCTCGGTGCTGATAGCAATTTTTCTATCCCCTGTCACAACACTTCCACCCTTCCCTGTCCTCTCTTTCCCTCAAGTACTGTCACCGGTCTCCACATTCCCTCCCTACGCACTAACCTCCTCTCCCAAAGGTCCCTCCAACAAGCCAATATCACCACTGTCTTCCTAGGTGGTGCTAACTACTGTGCCCTTTACAATACTGCTACAGGTCGCCTTCTCTCTCGTATTCCCTTCTGTCCTCGTTCCCGTCTGTACACCCTTCGGCTTCCCCGCCCCCCCACCTGCCAAGTCGCCTCTCCCTCTCTCCTCTCCCCCCTCCCCTCCCTCCCACTAATCCACCCCTCCCTCTCCGCCCCCCTGACTCTGACTGTTCCTGTCGCTCCCTCTCCCACCCTACCATCCTCCTCCATCACAGGCTAGGTCACCCTAACTTCGCTACTCTGCACTCCTCTGTCTCCTCCGGTCTCCTCCACGGTCTCCCCTCCTCCCTCTCTCCTCTCCCTAAATCCCCTGCCCCCCCCTGCACTGCCTGCGTTCAGAGCAAGCTCAAGCAGCAGCCGCAGCGGAGCTCCCCCTCCGCTGCTGCACAGCCACTTGATCTTGTTCACATGGACCTCTGGGGCCCTAATCCCTCTCCCACTTGCCACGGTCATCGCTACCTTCTCATGCTCGTTGATGATCACAGTCGGTACTCGTCCGTCTCCCTCCTTCGGACGAAGGCGGACGCCCTGGCTGCGATCATCGCCTGGCTCGAGCGGGCAAACACCCATTTTGGGCGCCCTGTTCGCCGCCTTCACTCTGATGGTGGTGGTGAGTTCCTTAACAACCAAGTCTCCTCCTATTGTCAGTCTCGTGGCATTCTTCAGACTTACACCCTCCCTCACTCCCCACAGCAGAACGGTGTGGCTGAGAGTCGTGTTCGAGAGATCACCAAAACAGCCCGGTGTCTTCTTGTCCACGCCTCCTGCCCCCCTTCTCTATGGGGCTACGCCCTCCTTCACGCCGCCCTCCTTACTAACCTTTACCCTCACCCCCTTCTCCCTTCCACCACCCCCACTGAGCTGTGGACAAAGGACAAGCCTGATGTCTCATCTCTTCGTGTCTGGGGCTCAAAGGTATATGTCCTTATTCATCCCTCTGATCGCTCCCGCTCCATGGGAAAGCTTGCCCCTCGCACCCTTCCCTGCATCTTCCTTGGTCATAACCCTACCTCACCTGACTACCTTTTCCTCCATCCCCCCTCAGGTCGTCTAGTCCGCAGTAGGGAAGTGGTCTTTGATGAGTCCACTCCCTACTACTCCTCTCCCCCATCCACTGACCCACTCCCCCCTCTCACCCGTCCCCTTGTCTGGTCTGACACCACCCCTCCCCCATTACTCCCTCCTCCCCCCATCCTCCCGCCTCCCCCCCCTCCGTCGTCCCCGTCCCACGGTGCCCCTCCCTCGTCTGGTGATATCTTTGACCCGGAACCTCTGTCCTCTCCGGTCTCCCCCACACATTCCTCTCCCAGTGCCCCTCCCCCCCTCCTCTCCCCTCCCTCGCCACCGACCCGTCCTTCCCCTCCTCCCCGCACCGTACTTACCCGGTACCCCCATACCAGGTCACGTGACGGTATCCTTGGTGCACCGCCCCCTGTTACCCTCTCTTCCTCTACCCTCCCCTCTCTCTCCCCTCTCCTTCACCACTTCTTCCAGGCTGTTTTGCATCAACCTCCTCCTGCAGCAGCCCCCTCTGCCTCCTCTCCCTCACCAGCAGCAGCGTCCGCAACGGCACCAGCAGCTGCACCAGCAGCAGGACCAGCAGCAGGACAGGCAGCGGCACCAGCAGCAGGACCAGCAGCGGCACCAGCAACGGCACTAGCAGCGGCACCAGCAGCAGCACCAGCAACGGCACCAGCAGTGGCACCAGCAGTGGCATCAGCATCGGCACCAGCAGCGGCACCAGCAGTAGCACCAGCAGCCATCCCCACCTTCCACACCTCCCTCTCTGAGGACTCCCATGAGGATTTCCTTGACCTCCACCTCTATAACCCCTCGCTTCTACCCATCACATTCGACCTCACCGGCACACCCGTCTTCGCCTTCTCCTCTGCTCCCTCCGTTTTCATCCCTACCACGTATGCAAAGGCAATGGCTTGCCCCGACGCTCCTCTCTGGCTCGCCGCCATCATCAAGGAGCTGGAGGCCTTTATCGCCAACTCCTCCTTCGTTGATGTGCCTCGCCCTCCCGCCTCTATGAACGTGGTGAAGGGGAAGTGGGTGTTTCGCGTCAAGTAGCTGCCAGGGGAGCCGCCCATCTACAAGGCTCGTTACTGTGCCAAGGGCTTCACGCAGCGGTATGCTGTTGACTTCTTCGATACCTTCTCCCCTACCGCCAAACCTGCTACCGTTCGAGTCGTGCTCGACCTTGCCGCTCGCCTAAATATGGAGATCCACTCGATGGATGCTTCTAACGCCTTTCTGCAAGGCGTCCTCCGCGAGCTAATCTATATGGAGCGTCCAGCCGGCTTTCACCTTCCCTTCCCAGCTAACTCTGTCTGGCAGCTGCGTCGACCTGTGTATGGTCTCCGACAGGCCCCTAGGGAGTGGCATGCTAAGCTTGCCGCCACCCTTGCTGAACTTGGGTTTCGCACCTCCCGCTCCGACGCCAGCCTCTTCCTCCGCGCCTCCCCCTCCCCCTTCGACATCCTTGTGTATGTCGATGACATGATTCTGCTCACCGCCGACCTTGCTGAGCTGGAGCATGTTAAGGCTGAGTTGGGTAGCCATCTCAAGTGCAAGGACTTGGGAGAGTTGCAGCATTACCTGGGCATGACCATCACCCGCGATCGCTCCGCCCGCACCATCTCTCTCTCCCAGGGTCATTACTTGCAGCAGGTCTTGGAGCGGTTTGACATGGCCCGGAGCGGTGCCCAACATACTCCTCTTTCTGTCGGGCACCACCTCTCTCCACCCACCTCCCCCTCAACCTGCTCCCATCCTTATCCCGAGCTCGTCGGCTCCTTCATGTACGCCATGGTCTCCACTCGCCCTGACCTTGCCTACCCCATCAGCGTCCTTGCTCGTTTTGTTGGCGCAGGCAAACATACGGAAGAGCACTGGCAGGCCGCCAAGCGTGTCCTCCGGTACCTTCGTGGCACCAAGGACTATGTCCTTACCCTTGGCGGCCCCTCCCCACCTCTCCTCAGCGGCTACGGTGACTCCTCCTGGGCTGATTCTCGGCCGGATCGTCGCTCCTCCCAGGGCTATGGCTTCTCTCTTGGCAGCGGCCTTATCAGCTGGCGCTCCACCCGCTCCTCGGCTATCGCCCTCTCCTCCTGCGAGGCGGAGTTGTATGCCGCTACCATGGCTGCGCAAGAGGCCCGCTGGCTCACCTTCCTTCTTGAGGAACTTGGTGCCCCCCAGCGCTGTCCCGCCATCTGGTGTGACAATGCCAGTACCATTCACCTCACTAAGGATGCTGTGTTTCACGGGCGCTCCAAGCACATTGAGCTCCGTCATTTCTTCACGCGATCTTGTTCAGGCGGGGCACCTTCGGCTCGACGAGATTGACTCGGCGACCAACCTTGCCGACATCTTCACAAAAGCTCTTCCTCATGCGGCTCACTCTTCACTACTTCATCTCCTTGGCCTCACTCCTCCTACGTTGCCTCCCGCCTCTTGATTCTAGCCTTCTAGCCTTATGCATGTTGGGGGGTTGTGTTGTAATTTCATATTTTATACAACATACATAGGCTAGAATTAGATGTGTAGCACATTTATAAATTGGGGGGTTGTTTAGTGTACCCTCCAACCACATTTTGTGGTTGCTTGGGATTGGTCCTTAACTCAACCAATCCCAACCAACACACATTTGTGGTTGCTTGGGCCACAATCAATTCTCTCCTTCAACACCCTCCCCCTGCCATCCCTTGCCCTACTCCTCCACCTCCTGCTTCTTCCCTTCCTACCTTTGTGCCACTCCTTTCCCCCCCCCCCAAAACCACCGGCAGCGATCTTCTTCAATCTTTGCACCACACAACTCATCTCAGGTCGCTTTCTCGCCTCCTCCTGGCTGCACTGCAGCGCCACCAGCAGCAGCCTCTTCCAGCCGAAAACTGCCCGTTACCTACAATTAAACTCCTACCCCTGCCACTACTGCCCCTCCGCGTGCCATCCCTTGCACTCCTGCTCCTCCTCCTTCCACCCTTTGCGCCCCTCCTTTCCCCACCCCAGAAGCAGCGATTGTCAGAACATTATGTTTCTCTAGTCTGCAGTGGGGTACTCTGTAGTGAGTACAACCCTGTTAGGGTTTGCTATATGTACCCAATTGCTTTCTAGTGCAATCATCCTTTCTCATTCATTCTTTCGTCAATCCTTCTCACAGCGATCTCCCTCAATCTCTGTACAACACGGTTCATGTCGGGTCGCTTGCTTGGCTCCTCTTGACTACATTGCAGCGCCACCAGCAGCAGCCTCTTCGCTACATTCACTAAAAACCGCCTGCTTCCTACATTTGAACTCCTACCCCTGCCACTGCCACCCCTCCCCGTGCCACCCCTTGCACTCCTGCTCCTTCTGCTCCTCCTGCTCCTTCTGCTCCTCCTGCTCCTCTTGCTCCTCCCCCACCAGTAGCGATCTCCCTCAATCTCTCCACCACACAGTTCATGTCGGGTCGCTTGCTCGGCTCCTCTTGACTACATTGCAGCGCCACCAGCAGCAGCCTCTTCGCTGCACTTGCCGAGAACTGCCCCTTCAAGCGCGGGTCCACAACCTGACTTATATGAAACCCATCCGCCTTCTTCCCCTGCTGCTGCTGCTGCTGCTGCTGATCGTCATTACCTTCTGCTGCTGCCGCTGCTGCTGATGCTGAGTCTCCTCCTCCCTTCCTCCCCCACGCCAGCTGTTTGTGGATCCAGGGGAAGAGGCGGTTATGTGTGGCGGTGGTGGCGGGGGATCGGCCGGTGAGCAGTTCCAGGAGAACCACGCCCAGAGAGAAGACATCGCTCAGCGGGGTGAGGTGGCCTGGAGGGGGGGAGGGGGGTGAAACATGCAGGGAGAGAGGGTGGGGTGTGTGGTGGGAGGGAAGGGGAAGGAGGGTAGGGAGAAAGGGGTTACAGAAGGGAGAAATGGGAAGGGGAACGGGAAGAGGCAATTGTGGGTGGCAGTGATGGCAGGGGATCGGCCAGTGAGCAGCTCAAGCAGAACGACGCCCAAAGAGAAGACATCACTCAGCGGGGTGAGGTGACCTGAGAGGAGAGTGGAGGAGGGGTTGGGGGGAAGATACTAAAACGGTGAGCAACTCGAGCAGAACCACGCCCAAAGGAAAGACATCGCTCAGCGGGGTGAGGTGGCCTGAGCGTGGGAACGAGTGGGGGCTGGGGGGTGTCGCACAAGGGGTGAGCACCTCAAGCAGAACCACACCCAAGAAGAAGACATCACTCAGAGGGGTGAGGTGGTTTGGAAGGGGCGGGGGGTCGAAGCACGCAGAGTGAGAGGGCAGGGGGTGTGGTACGGGGGAAGGGGAAGGAGGAGAGCAATAAAGGGATTATGGGAGGGGGAAACCAGAAGGGGAAGGAGAATAGGCGGTTGTGGGTGGCGGTGGTGGCGGGGGATCGGCCGATGAGCAGCTCAAGCAGAACCACACTCAAGGAAAAGACATCGCTCAGCGGGGTGAGGTGGCCTGAGAGTGGAGAGGAGGGGGATGAGGGGGTGGCGCCCCACAGGATGAGGGTGAGAAAACAGTGCACAAGTCATATCCGTGTTCATCGCCTCCCCACCTGTGAGAACAGCACACTCGTTACAAACCTCCCCACCTGTGAGAACAGCACACTCGTTACAAGCCTCCCCACCTGTGAGAACAGCACACTCGTTACAAGCCTCCCCACCTGTGCGAACAGCACATTCGTTACAAGCCTCTCCACCTGTGAGAACAGCACACTCGTTACAAGCCTCCCCACCTGTGAGAACAGCACACTCGTTACAAGCCTCCCCACCTGTGTCGATATCGTCAGGGTCGAGGTACCCCAGGGTGCTTATGATGCAAGTGGACACGTGCGTCTTGCCCTCCTCCCCTCCTCCCATCCATGCCCAACAGGCACAAGTCATATCCTCGTTACAAGCCTCCCCACCTGTGTCGATATCGTCAGGGTCGAGGTACCCCAGGGTGCTTATGATGCAAGTGGACACGTGCGTCTTGCCCTCCTCCCCTCCTCCCATCCATGCCCAACAGGCACAAGTCATATCCTCGTTACAAGCCTCCCCACCTGTGTCGATATAGTCAGGGTCGAGGTACCCCAGGGTGCCCATGATGCGAGTGGACACGTGCGTCTTGCCCTCCTCTGGTCCCCGTGTCGCCATGCCAAAATCCGTCACCTTGGCTCTCAGCTCCTGCGGAAATAGACATCGGAAAAGGAAAGGGGAGAGGGGGGGGGAAGGGGAAGGCGGGGGGGGGGGGGTTATGGGGGGGAATCGAGAAACCAATGTGGAGTCTTGCCCTCCTCCGGTCCCCGTGTAGCCATGCCGAAGTCCGTCACCTTGGCTCTCAGCTCCTGGTGACACGGAATGGGTAGGTTGTGGATTAGAGGGGGGGTTTGATTAAATTGATTGTTGAGTCTTGCCCTCCTCTGGTCCCCGCGTGGCCATGCGGAACTCCGTCACCTTCGCTCTAAGTTTTGCGGAAACAGAAATTGGAGAAGGAAGGAGAAGGGGGAGGGGGAGGGGGAGGCGGGGGGGAGGTAAGAGGGGGATTCGAGAAACCATGTGGAGTCTTGCCCTCCTCTGGTCCCCGCGTCGCCATGCCAAAATCCGTCACCTTGGCTCTAAGCTGCTGCGGAAACAGGGGGGGAAGGCTGTGGGGTGTACGCCAGGCCCTCCGCCATGCCTAGTCCATGCAAGAGCACTCGTGTCCACAACATCATGGACACCTGCAGACCCCCCTCCGTGCAACTTACCCTGTCCAGCATGACGTTATGAAACTTGAAGTCGCGGTGAATGATGTTCTGCCCGTGGAGATACGCCAGCAGGACCACCACCAGAGGGCACATTCCTCAGTATCCCTCCCCAGCAACCTCCCCTCCGACTTACCCTGACCAGCATGACGTTGTGCGATTTGAAATCACAGTGAATGATGTTCTGCCCGTGCAGATATGGCATGCCCTCTGCCATGCCCACTGCCCAAGCGTGGTTTACTCTAAATGAACATACACTACACTACAGAGTACAGACCCCACGTCCCACTTACACTGTCCAGCATGACGTTGTGGGACTTGAAGTCGCGGTGAATGATGTTCTGCCCGTGCAGGTATGCCATGCCCTCCGCCATGCCCACTGCCACCTGCACGCGCTGCTCCCATGTCAGGCACGGGCTGTCTGGGGAGAGGTCTGGAGGGACGGCCGATGGGAGGGAGGAAACAGGTGGTTTTCTTGCATGCTGGACTGCCATTTGCCCACTGCCACCTGCACACGCTGCTCCCACATCAGGCACGGGCTGTCCGGGGAGAGGTCTGGAGGGAAAGTTGTGGTGGAGGGGAAACAAGGAAGGGGAAATTGGTTGACATCGGATACGCCAAACGCAAGCCCTCGCTCCCATGTCAGGCACCCACCTGCCACTTTCGAGGGCTGCTCCCATGTCAGGCACGGGCTGTCAGGAGAGAGGTCTGGGGGAGAGGTGAGTGTGGTGGGGAGGATCGACAAGGGTGGGGGAGGGCGGGGAAGGGGACGAAGAGAGGTAGTTAGGAATTGGTCGGATGTGGACACACCACCCAAGTGCACCCAAAGCCAGGCGCGGCGTGTGGGAAAGGGAAAAGGAGGGTAGAAGGTTGGTGGTTGTTGAACATGCGGGGCTGGTGAGAGGTAGAGGTCTGGGGTGGTGATGGTTGGTGTGGGGCGGATCAACTAGGGGGGAAGGAGGGAAGGATGGTGGGGAATGGGGGGTTGTCGGAGTTTGCTGCAAGCGAATACGTCAGGGGCCCCACATGCACTGAATGATCAGTGCTTCTGTGACAACAACACATGGGGAAGTCCGAAAAGAAAGAAAATAAATCCGTGACAACACAAGCACCCATGCGTGCGCATTTTGAGGCACCAAAAAAAAAAATGTACAGCCACTGAATGATGACTGCTTCCGCGTCAACACACGCACGCATCCGTGCGAAGACAGGTTAAAAAGGCACAGTGCCGCCACTATTCAACATCAAGCGTGTTGATGAAGTGGGTGGATAAGGTCGAAACTGTCTGCGCCCAGCTGCAGAGGTAACTGAGGGGGGCGGTGGATGCAGAGGTAACTGAGGGGGGCAGTGGATGCAGAGGTAACTGAGGGGGGCGGTGGATGCAGAGGTAACTGAGGGGGGCGGTGGATGCAGAGCTGCGAATGCCGAAGCCACCCAAGCGGATAGGGAGCGAGGCTTGGGGTCGGGCCGATGTGGACTGTTCAGGGGGTGGGATTCCAGTACTCGGAGCCTAGGAGCTGAGAGAAGTGGCTGAAAATTGTACTATCCCATTAAGAGAGTAGCTCTTGGATTTCGGGAAAACGTGCGACAGTTTGGAGAAGGAAAGAAGGTCGGGCAGTGATGCATAAGGAAAGGATCTGTGAGGCAATCTGTGGGTCCCAGTCTGGATGAAGGGAGAAGGCGGAACAAACTGCGTCAACCACACACCACCCGAGGTGACTTCTCTATCAGCAGCTGACTTTGCTTACTTGGGAGAGGACCATTGAGACGTCACAGAGGCCTATTTGTAGGCCTCACTATAGGACTAACTTGCATGTCTGTCCTTACACTAGTTGTTTGGATTTGCCTTGTATCCAATGTACATTTACTATACTGTTAATGAAGAGGTAGAATAGCACCCTGCCACGTGCCCGGCGCAGTCTCGGGTTCGATTCCCGGCTGGCAAAGCCGAAGTTTTGTTGTTTTTTCTTTTGGCTTGTTTCAGTTACCGCTCGTGTTTTTGTTGTCTGGCCACTATCTATGAAACGAACACATCATACCCTAGAACATGCCCAAGTGCTCCGAGAAGAACGTAACTAGTCGATATGTTCATGTCCCTCCATGTTCTGATGACACCTACATACATCTCTCTCCATCTCTCTCCATCCCCCGCATCCACCAAATTATGAACCATAAAAGAGTCAGAAGATTGTAAGACTTGAAAAAAGAACCTGATTGCTCGAGCGAAACGACGTCCCTGTTTTGAAATTGCCATCCTATAGTGAGCCATCTCACAACATACCAGGTCACACACTAAAAAGGAAACAGACTGAACAAACCCAGTTCTTTCGCAATGAAAGCATCAGCTTGGCATCAACGGGGCGCATACGCCGTTCACCAACCCTTGACTAATCATCCCAGCACCATTCATCCCAGCACCATTCATCCCAGCACCATTCATCACAGCACCATTCATCACAGCACCATGCCGCCCAGCACCACGCCGCCCAGCACCATGCCGCCCAGCACCATGCCGCCCAGCACCATGCATCCCAGCACCATGCCGCCCAGCACCGTGCCGCCCAGCACCATGCATCCCGATTGTGTCCCAATGAGTGCATCACTCACCTCGGCATGACTGGCCTGTCAGCGCTGTATGAACAGGTGTATGCGGGCCGCATCCACCCCTCACCGAACCTTCACCATGCATGCAGCCTGGTACCATGTGGCCCAGCACCATACGGCCTGGCACCATGCAGCCTGGCACCATGCAGCCTGGCACCATACGGCCTGGCACAATGTCCCGAGCATGCTACCTGACCATGCGGCATGGCACCAAGCCCAGCATCAGCTACACGCCACCTGAGTTGAAACCCCCCGCCAGTCGACGACTGTTCCGTGCATTTATCGCTGTGGATCATCTAGTCCTTCTCTGGGTCTCATCCTATGTCACAGCTTTGAGTTCATTCCTTACGTTCGCTTCCTAGAGAAGTCTCTCAGATGCAACGCATGCTACACTTACAAGATCTAGAGCCAGCGCCATACGTAAACCCTGAACTTAACAATTTTACTACTAAATCGGAATCATACATCCAAAAGCGTGCCAGTGGTCTAGTGGTAGAATAGCACCCTGCCATACGCCCGGTGCAGACCCGGGTTCGATTCCCGGCTGGCACAAGCTCTCTGCCTTTCGCAGTTTGTTTGCTTTTTTTTTTTTAAGGTGGGGTGCAGACATGCATGTGTCTTATAAGACATGCAATCCCACCCACCGCCCTCTTCGTCCTCTCACTTACCGTTGGGATGTAGCCAGTGGTGCAGGTCCCCTCTCTCCACCAGCTCATACACAAGAATCGCCCGGCTGTCCTCCATGCAGTACCCCAGCAGCTGCACCAGGTTGGGGTGTCTCAGGTCGCCCAGCACTAGGATCTCCGCCTGTGGGGTGAAAGATGCACAGTGAGGGAGAGATGAAAGGGTGGGGATGCGAGGGAAAGGAGTGTAGCCCGGCTGTCTTCCATGCGGTACCCCAGCAGCTGCACCAGGCTGGGGTGTCTCAGATCGCCCAGCACTAGGATCTCTGCCTGTGGTGGGGGGAGAAGGAGAGGAATGGGTAAGCGTGTTGGGGAGGAAAGGAAGAGAAATGGAGGTGTGAGGGAGAGGAGCGCAGCACGGCTGTCCTCCATGCAGTACCCCAACAGCTGCACCAGGTTGGGGTGTCTCAGATCGCCCAGCACTAGGATATCCGCCTGTGTAGTGAAGGACGGATGGTAGGGGGAGGCGAAACGGGGTGGGGATGAGTAGGAGAAGCAGCCGCAGCAGGTTGGTTGGGGTGGTTTAAGGCTTCCCAGCATGAGGAGAATCTCTGCCTGTGGAGTGAAGGACGTGGGATGGCGGGAGAGAAGTGCAGCACTGCCTTTTGAGACCTCTCAAAAGTGTTTCCCTGCATGAGAAGGATCTCCGCCTGTGGGGTGAGGGACGTGGAATGGGGGGAGAGAAGAGCAGCATTGGCACGTCACATGCAGAATCTAAGGATAACAGGTGCACCTGATTGGGGTCTTTAGGGACTCAAGGTGACACGTGAAATGGGCAGTAGGGTGGGTGGGTGGGTGGGTGGGTGGGGGGATGGAGGCTGCAATTATAGATGAACAAAACAGAATAATTCATACGTGATCACGATTCGACTTAATGACTCCTTTGCCTAGCCTTGCATTTTCCTGGCCTCGCCTTTCCCTGGCCTCGCCTCTCACCAGGGAATAGTCAAACGCCTTCATGCTGTCAGTGTGAAGCACCTCCACACCGCAACCTCTCCCATTCCCTCAAGCCCATCCCCTTCCCTCCCTCTCCCTCCCCCCCTTCCCCATTCGTTTTCCTTCTGCCCCGCAAAATAGACAAAATACAAACTATCCCGTTCCTCACTCCTCCCTACTACTTACTCACCCTGTTCCATGTCCCTTTTCTCACCCCTTTCTCAGTGGCTCACCAGGCAATCGTCAAACGCCTTCACGCTGTAAGTGTGATGCACCTTCACCGCCCCGCCACCTCTCTTTCATCTTCTCAAACCCATTCTCGTCCCTCTCCCCACCTCTTCCCCCCCCTTTAACTCACTCTCCAAACAACTTCCCTCGCCTCTCACCAGGCAGTCATCAAACGCCTTGACGCTCTCAGTGTGAAGGACCTTCACTGCCACACCTCTCCTTACCCCAAGCCCATGATCCCATCCTCTCCCCTTCTGTCCCCTCCCTCACCAGGCAGTCGTCAAACGCCTTGACGCTCTCAGTGTGAAGCACCTTCACCGCCACCTCTCTCTTGCTGCCACGTGGCAGCTCTCCCAGCCACTCGTCCACCTGCCCTTTCCCAGCTGCAGGGATGCGTTGAAATACCCTGCTGCCTGCTGTAGCTCGCGGTAGGAGAAGCGACGCAGAGGAGGAGGGTTGGAGGAAGGCCTTGCCCCGCTGCGGAAAGAGAGGGTTAGACGGGTAGGGTATGAAGGGAGGGAGACGAGAGGGTAAGAGAGGGAAAGAGTAAGAACCCTTGCCTTGTCCAGCTGCAGGGGCGCATTGAAATACCCTGCTGCCTGCTGCAGCTCGCGGTAGGAGAAGCGCCGCAGAGGAGGCGGGCCGGAGGAAGGCCCTTGCCCCGCTGGGAGGGGGAAAAAAAGGGGGAGAGTGGGGGGGAGTAAGGCCCTTGCCTTGCCCAGCTGCAGGGACGCGTTGCCCAGTACCCAGCCGCCTGCTGTAGCTCGCGATAGGAGAAGCGGCGCAGAGGATGAGGGTTGGAGGAAGGGCCTTGCGCCGCTGCAGAGAGGGCTAAGGGGGTAGGCATGTGAGGGAGGGAGAAAAGAGGGGGAGAGTAAGGCCCTGCCCTTACCCAGCTGCAGGGCCGAGAGGGGGAGAGTAAGGGATGGGGTGGAAGGAGGTGGGAGGGGGCGTGTTTGGGAAATCGGGTAAAGGGGGTAGGGTGTGAAGAGAGGGAGAAGAGAGGGAGGAGAAAGGGGGAGAGGAAGAGAGTTAGGCCCTCCAACAGCAGAGACGCGGTAGGAGGAACGACGCAGGGGAGGGGGGAAGGGGGAAGGCTGGCTGTGCGCTGATGGGGACACAGCGGTTTGGGAAGAGAGGGGTGGGGTGGGGAAAAGATGAAGCAGAGACTGGATTGGGGGAGGGGGAAGAGAGAAAGAAGGCATGGAGGAGAGAGGGGCCTAGCTGCACAGAAAGGGTGCATGAGAATACCCCGCCGCCTGCTGAATCCCGCTCTCGCTATAAGAGGAGAGACGGGAAGATAATTGATTGAGTGAGCGTAGGACTGCCTATAAGATGAGAATACCACGTCTCACGGTACGAATCTGACTCTGAGGCTTTCGGAGAAGGCTCGCTTCGTTCGGTTCGGGACCTTCGAGTCGACTAGAATCACCTCAAAAGTCACTTTGTTCGGGTCGGGACCTGGTGCTATCGGCGACCTACAACGAAATCACTTTTGAGAATTCTCAAAAGTGACAAAAACCAGCAGTCGCAAAGCTTTCTGTACTTCGTGGAAACGTGGAACTAGGAGCCTCAGGCTGCTGCATCTCGCTTTGAGTGTGATCGAGCAAGATGTCTGAGTTTCGCTAACCAGAATGTCCCCAGAGCTCGTGTTCTACCCGAGCACCACGTGCAACGGGATAAATGGCCAAAGTTGTGCACGAGAAACGCAAAAAAAAAACTCGAACGCAGGAATTATCAATCTTGGTAGCACTATGGACACGCCACGAAGAGATTTCGCTGAGCTCGCCGCGTCACTATTAATGCTGCGAGAAAGATCTCGCCACATGCGATCAGGCCAGAACCGACCTGCGCCATTCCCGCGCACAGCCGAGCGCTTCGAGGGCGTCGAGCCGAAGCACCCACAGCACGCAACGGCGTCATCATCGTCCATGCCGCGCGACGGTTACAACGACGACGACGACTCGCAAAGGGGTAAAGGACGTTGGTTATCTTGTCGGATTCGCTGAATCGACGAACATTTCGTGGCTTCACTCGCTGAGTTGTGCGTCTGTCTGCCGGAGGAACTGGGAACCCAAAATAGTGGTTGATGATGAAGATTTAGAATAATGTTGTCAAGGTAATCTGTTGCATATTTAGAGTAATGATCTCGAACAAGAATCTATCTCGTCTATAATCGACCCTAAGCTGTTACGCTGGTTGAAGAACACAATGACACACCTGGCAAAGGAACACACATGCCTTCACTAGCAAAGGTTCTCCGACTTCTGCTGGACCAACGCTTGGTGAACATGCTTTCAAGACGTGGTGCATTGGCGTCCCTGCAGCAGTCTTCACAAGGAACGTGCAGAATTGAGTTGAGCCCTGCTGCGACGCTACAATATTAGCGCGACGCACTGGCGCCCCGTTTTCCTCCTCCAACAGATACCCTGTGCGACGGAACTCGCTTCTGTGACTGGGCATCCGTAGCGTTTTGGTCGCACACACAGTATCAATTTCTCGCCACAGCGTCATATTGAGCGTTACAATGACCTAACGAAAGCTTCGGGTTTCCCGCGGGTGTTGGCCATCTGGCCGGTGCCAGTCCAGTCCAAACTCAGCGAGCTAAATTGACGAAATGACCGTCCAGGAAAAGTTACACAGATTCGAATAATAGAAGGCACATGCAATGTATAACCTAGCTCCTCAAGTCCTAATACTTATCTTGCTCAGGCTATGCTACCATTTCACATGTAGAGCCTGCGCTGTTTGTACATTTAGAGATTTAAATCCTGTACATGATACACCATCAACAAAACGAAACTTACAGCGCTCATGAAAACATGGATTCCGGAAGTACCGTCATACCCCGGATATACCCCCATGGGGGGCAATAATAAAACAGGTTTTTTCAGGGGGGTGGGCTTATAATCGAGTAAATTTATAAGCGCCGGCATTTATAAAATGACATATATATATTTTTCTATTTTTTAACACCAAACTGTAGATCTCGTGCTTGCCTTTCCAATCGAGTCGAAGTTACATGGGGTCGTCTGTGAAAATCTCGCGCGCGCTGGGAGATACACCCAATCTGACTCACATCCAGCTCCTGACAGCTCCTGACAGCTCCTGCTGACTGGACCCGCATCCAGTGCAGGGTCCGAATGTGAAGGGAACCGAATCTGCAACACATCCGCCTGCTAAAGTAAAAATCGTTACAGCATTTTGAACACATTTCAAAATTTATAAGTTTACGTGCGCTTATAATAAAACAAGTTTTTTCAGGGGGTGCGCTTATAATCGAGCAGCGGATATAAGCGCCATGCGCCAATTAAAAGTGCCAGGCGCTTATCCGAGGGTGGCGCTTATATCCGGGGTATGACGGTAGCCCTCACAAGACAATCACGCTAATTGTTGGAGTAAGTGTTAAGCTCTTAGGCAAGGGGGATGATTGGACTGTCGAGAGTTTTGGTACAAAGGGAAAACCTAAGGGGTTGTACCCCACAGTGAGTACCCCACTAAAGCCTACCTAAACTATAACATATAAACATATGTTTGACACACCCCCATAGGCAAAGAGGGGGAGAACAGAGGGTCACAAGGCCAGGCAGGAAGTGCAAAGCAAGCTCAGGGTGGATCACAACGTCACCACGCAGTCTGAGCACAAGCAAAAGGCCACAAGGCCAGTTCACATGCAGAGATATATGTGTAACAACAACAGCACAGTGATATCTACCTACAAGAGCAAGCATGCAGGTATACATATAGATCACAGTACAACCAAAGCCTACAGCAAGTGAGGAAGCGTGGGAACAAGGCCTAACAAAGTGCAGAAACGCTGATGATCACCAGGCGGAAGCGCCTTGGTGAATATATCAGCAGTTTTGGCCCGAGTAGCCATGTAAGCAAGACGAAGCTGGCCACGCTGCTGCAGCTCTCGAGCAAGGAAGTAACGTAGAGCGATGTGCTTCGTTCTGTGCTCCAGTCTGTGCTCCTGACACAAGGCAATGGCAGCCTTGTTGTCGACGTACAGAACTGGAGGAGAACGAGGCCGCTCTCCCAAGTCGGTCAGCAGGTAGGCGAGCCAGCGTAGCTCCTGTGCAGCCATGGCTGTGGCGTAGATCTCGGCCTCACAGCTGAAGCCGAGAACTGAAGACAAACGTGTAGAACGCCAGGAAACTGAACCAGAACCAAGGCTGAATGTGTAACCCTGTGACGACCGCTGAGTAGCCTGGTCGTCAACCCAAGAGTTGCCGAGTGACCAGTGAGGACAACGTCACCCCGTCCTCCAAGCACGAGCCCCATGCCCGATGTACTGCACAAGTAGCGTAGTACCCTCTTAGCAGCATCCATGAGCACCTTTCGGTGCCGACCAGGAGCCACGTAACGAGCCAGAAGGCCAAGAGGGTACGCAAGGTCAGGACGAGTGCAGGTCATCAGGTACATGAGGCAGCCCACTAGCTCTGGGTAAGGACCACTCGGCTCTACGGACTCGTCCGAAGGTGGAGCTGAGAGCGAGTGACCTGTAGCCATAGGAGTGGCCTGTGCTGAGGACCAGGTGAAGCCGAAGCGCTGAAGGACGTGCTGCACCATGTGTGACTGAGTCAGTGTGATGGTGCGCCGTGCTCTGTCCCGGGTGATCTGCAAGCCAAGATAGCTGCGCAGCTCACCCAGGTCTGTGCACGTGTGTCTCTTCTGCAACTCCGACTTCACCAGGGCGAGAGCCTCAGTGTCAGCAGTGGCAAAGACCAAGTCGTCGACGTACACGAAGATGTAGAACGGCGGCAGCGAAGTGTCGGTGCGCAGAAACAGCGACGGGTCAGCAGTCGACGGAGCAAACCCAAGAGCCGCAAGTGTCGTCCTCAGTGTGTCGTGCCACTCACGTGGTGCTTGGCGGAGACCGTAGACCGGCCGCCGGAGGCTCCACTGGGTACCAGGAGGGAACGACCCAGTGAAGCCAGGTGGGCGGCGCAGCCATATCTCCTCGTGCAGGCTGCCCTGTAAGAAGGCTATGCTGAAGTCAAGAGAGTGAAGCTCGTAGTCTCGCTGAGCGGCAACGTGTAGCAGCACCCGAAGAGTGGTCATCTTCGGGGTGGGGGAGAAGGTCTGGAAGAAGTCAACTCCCTCTCGCTGACTGAAGCCTCGAGCCACGTAACGAGCCTTGAAGACAGGCGGAGAACCTGGCGGCCGCTTCACCGTGAAAATCCACATGCCACTGACAATGTTCGCCCCAGGAGGGGGAACCTCGTCGACGTAGGTGCCTGTGGACTTCCAGGATGCCATCTCTGCGTCCATGGCTGTCTGCCACTGAGAGGAGTACTCACCCGCGATTGCCTCAGTGTAAGAGCGTGGGGTAGGGATGTCTGGTGCATCCGGGTCTCCCTCAGGGTCAAGCAGCATGGCCACGAGATGAGGCGCAGCGGTTGCAAGACACTCAAGGTCCTCCTGCCTGTCCTCAAGGACGTCCGTGCCAAGAGCACACTCACCCCCGACGGACG